TCCGCCCCGTGAGTGACACCATCTTGCAAATCTTGTTTATTTGACCTAGTATAAGTAATCTCATAGAAATACACACTACCGGCGCTCGAGTGTAAGGCATAGTTTTTGGCAAATTGATAGGTGGGACACGCCACCAATAGATCTCCATACATATCATTGAGAGCCCATTTTATTTGATCAGGATTACTTTTGTTGACATTTCCAAGATAAAAGTCGGTGATTGCGGTGGCATTTAAGTTGTGAAAAAATGAGTCAAAACTTTGCGCTAATTTCTTAAAATCAGATTCAGTTATGTTTTGTGGGATATGTTGCACAACATTATGCAATAACATAGAGCCCTCGTGTGCGGCCACACCTGCCATTAGGTCCAGATCTGTGTCCAATCATAATAGGATTAATGATGAAATAAAATTTTTAATTAATTTATTGAATTACCCTTGTTAAATTTTAGTGTTTCAAATGCTGTGTGTGCGAACACCGGGAGGTATTCAGTGTCGAGTGTGGCGACAGTGGTTCCCACAACAGTGGCTTCCGTTATGTGGTTTGCGTCCACTTTTTGCANTTATTGAATTACCCTTGTTAAATTTTAGTGTTTCAAATGCTGTGTGTGCGAACACCGGGAGGTATTCAGTGTCGAGTGTGGCGACAGTGGTTCCCACAACAGTGGCTTCCGTTATGTGGTTTGCGTCCACTTTTTGCAAACACTCTAACCATTCATTTTCACTACAATTGAAATGTTTGGCTAAATTCTTGGCATCGCCTAAAACTTCAGATTTAGTCCTGATATCCCTGTCCTTATTGAACATATGGGCACCACTTTCCATAATAGCCCTCTTAAACAGACCTTTCGATAGGGGAGATAATATTTGTGCCGATACGGACCAACTACCAGCGCTCTGACCAAATATAGTGATCTGATCCCTATCCCCACCAAATTTATGAATATTTTCTCTCACCTGTATATAAATTAAAATTTTTAAAATTTGTTTGTAAATTAAAATAAATTAAACATTAAATTTATACCCATTTGAGTGCTAATAACTGGTCATAAAAGCCCTGATTTCCGGGCGCCCTATCATCGCCACCGTATAGGAACCCAAACTGAGCTAATCTATAGTTTATGGACACAACCACCACATCATGAGCTGCCAGTGCACTGCCGTTGTATTGGTATTGAAATGATGACCCGAGAGCGAGGGCCCCGCCATGAATCCAAAACATTACTGGTTTTAGTGGTGAGTCTTTCGATGAGGTATTACTTCTGACACGAGGTGTCCATACGTTTAGTACCAAACAGTCCTCACTTAGTGTTAAATTTCCGATAAAGTCTTTATATACATCAGATACTGGTTGATAACATGAGTTCCCAGTTTCGGTCCCATCTATAATCTCCTTAAAACATATAATAAAATTAATAAACAGTTTTTGGTTAATAATTATTTCTTACTTTTATGGGCTCTTTAAGGGGTACGG